AATAAAATCTTGAATCTTCCCCCCCTCTCCTTTTATCTTTGTGGGAATTAGGGAGGAGCTTGTCGGAGACATTTTCACAAATCAGTTTCCTGGAAGAGACTCAACTTCTGCTTATCTGACCAATGCCTCTGTAGCAGCTGTTGCTTCTTTCTTTCAAGGCCATTCCTTGTGTATTCTGCAGGAGTTACAAACTATATATACTGAACTATATAATGTATAATTATATATATATATATATATTCCCTTATTTATTTTTTTCCTCTTAAATGACATTCATGTAAAACCTGGATTCTTATGAAAGATGCTAAATACAATTTTTAATATAATAATAATAAGTTTTAAAGATGAATGCATGGTTGTACTCATATGGTTTCCATATTATCATTCATTTAAAAATGCCACCTGGGATTAATTATTAATTTGCTCTCCAGTTTAATTTACAGTTTTGGTAATTTCTGGTGGTGTATCACCCAAGTTACAGTTGTTTTGTAATGGTTTAGGTTGGTCCTATATTGCATTATTCTTTTCTCTCTATACTGTGGGAAGTCAGCCCCCCCCCCCAGAGAAGGAAATATTAAAAGGGTAGAATATTATATTTTCTCAAAGGATCTTAAAGAGGCAGAAAAGCATGTCCAGTTTTTCTTAATAGCCCCAAGTCTCCCTCTCCCAAGCAGAAGCCAGCTCTGTAGAAATGCAGATGTAATAATCCATTCAGGAAGGTTGGAGCCCTCCAGCTAGAAGCTTAGCAAGACAAAGAAACCTAAAATCTATATACCCCACCCAAACTCTAGGATAGGACATAAAAGGATTAACCCACAGATGCCAAAGGGGCACACTCAGAGTCAGGTAAAAGTACATGACACAGGAAATACAAAGCCTCAAACAGGAACAGGAAACAACTCCAAACAAAAGCCCAAGAGGGCATAAAAACCCTACTACATGTGCACTCCCTACTACATGTGCACTCTTTTCTTCCAGAGCCATCTTTCTGTCTGGCTCTCCTCTTCAATAAACTACAACCTTCTTTCTAAAGCAGTTTATTCCCGGCTTGGACTGAACCATGATGAAGACTTTTCCTTCAGCAATACAAATGACTGTATCTTGAAGGATCCCTCTGTTAAAATTCTGAAGTTTGCAGATGATACAACAGTCATTGGTTTCATTTGAGATAATGGTAAATCTGCATACAGACAAGAGGTTGAACAACTGGCCCTTTGATGCATACTTAAAACTGTAGAAATGATAGTAGATTTTAAGAAAAGGCCTCATATTCTTACACTATTAGATAACACAGTATCAAAATAGAGACATTCAAGTTTCTGGGTTCTATAATCTCCTAGGACTTGAAATGGACAGCTAACATTGGAACCATCATTAAAAAGGCAAAACAAAGAATGTTCTTCCTGCATCAACTCAGAAAGCTCAGATTGCAACAAGGAGCTGCTGATACAGTTCTACAGAAGAATTACTGAGTCTGTCATTTGTACTTCTGTATCTGTCTAGTTTGTCACAGCAACCAGACAGGACAGATGCAGACTTCAATGGTTAGTTAGGACTGCAGAAAAAACAATTGCAACCAGCCAGGCTTCCATTGACAACACGTATACTGCAAGAGTCTGAAAGAGGACTGAGAAAATATTTGCAGCCCTCTCACATCCTACACATAAATTGTTTCAGCTTCTCCCCTCAGGACGCCATTATGGGCATTGCATGTCAAAACACAAAGATAGTCCCCCCCCCATGTCATCATTCTGCTAAACACATAATTCCCACATCACTGTCTTATGCCTAAGGATATCTAACTGTGTAATAGGGCTGTATTGCTACTATCCTTCTCATCTTCTGAACTTTTTCATCTTTCCTCCTACCTTCTCCTATTGATATCTAATGATTTATCACTTGTTGTTTGTATCTTATGATTTATGATTGCATTTTATGATTTATGATCTATGACTTACCACTTTTTTATTTGTATATACAATGAGAGCTTATGCACCAGAGAAAAAATTCCTTGTGTGTCCAGTCACACTTGGCCAATAAAAAATATTCCTTTCTTCATAGTAGATCAGTGATCCTTTCAGGTCCTTTCATAGTTCTGATACATGTTCCATTCTGTCAGGAACAGCCTAAGATATAATGACACAAACCACTACAAGTAGTAATCTTCTATACCAGATTGTTCTGGAATTCCATCACCAGATTGTGTCTTGGACTGGCTGCTCCTCCCCATTTCCATTTCATTTAAACAAATAGACAAATAACTATTCATACAGAAGCAGAAGTTTTTGTCAAACAGGAATTCATCATGCAACTAGCTTGTCAGTCAAAATTATGACATGTTTTCCATTATCCTGTATCTCCATGACTTATATTCGAGATTAAAGTTAGAATTGACAATCCTCCTTTTGATGGAGATGGCTTATTTAGCAGTAAGATTGATAACACTATGGATAGGCTTTAAAAATATTATACAATGTTGTAAAAAACAGTCCATTGTTCCACCTATAAGTCCTATCCAAAATCTGTTTCAGATGGAACAAAAATAATTTTCTGTGTCCAGGCACTGTTGATGGATTTTGGTATTCCCTTCATATCTATCAAGGATGAGCCATAGATTTAGCTTCAAAGCTCCAAGTAGTGATGCCTTGCTTCCAAGATATGTGGGCTTCCATAACAAATCTCCTTTTGGTTTTGGTGATCATTTCACTGAGTTGCCTAATTGAGATCTGGGTTAATAACACACCAAATAATCCTGTTGTTTTAAAGGCTTCTCCAGAATTTTGTGAGACATCCATCCATCCATCCATCCATCCATCCATCCATCCACCCATCCATGCAATTGTAACCTTTCTTGGTGAAGGTTGCATTCCACTTTCTTTCTTTGTTTGATTTTAAATCAGTTTTTGACTTCTGGCAGCTGCCTGGATTAATTCCTTTAGTTTTTTTGGCAAGGGGATTTGGAAGTGATTTGTCCTTGTCTGCTTCCTATAGCTGAGAGACAGCAACTGGCTCAAGGTCACTCAGCTGGCTTTATGCCTAACGTAGGACTAGAATTCCAGGTCTCCTGGTTTCTGACTTGGTACCTTAAGTACCATACCAAATTGGCTTTGCTCCTTGAACAATTTTATAGCAGATAAGCCTCGTTACTTATTTAAATTTTTACCATTTGGCTCTAACAGGGTTTCCTTCCCTTAAATAGGATTTGACATTGCTTTTCTCTTCTTCCAAGGTTTCAGTTTGTTCCTTTCCTGGGCTCCTGGCTTCTAGCTGAATATTCGTATACCAAGCTAACTTGTCATTTAGCATAATTTTTTTTTCTGAAGCACCTTGTCATCATGTCTCTAGCTTCATTTAAAAAAATAACAAGACTGCCCTGTTTTGGCAAATATTAATAAATCCATCAATCTTGTATCAAAGTCATAAATTCACTTCAGGTTTCATACATACATAGTAGACTCACTGAAGCAAACACATCCCAAGAATCAGCAAGAGGGAGAATCTGAAGACAAGCAGAATTAATTTCCAAGAAAAGATCTTGGTAGCTAGGGTTCTAAGCAAAAATTAATCAAGATGTTTACTGGTATAAGCATCTTTGATTCCTATCTGAGTTCAAGCTTCTTCTTCTTCTTCTTCTTCTTCTTCTTCTTCTTCTTCTTCTTCTTCTTCTTCTTCTTCTTCTTCTTCTTCTTCTTCTTCTTTCTTCTTCTTCTTCTTCTTTTCTTCTTCTTCTTCTTCTTCTTCTTCTTCTTCTTCTTCTTCTTCTTCTTCTTCTTCTTCTTCTTCTTCTTCTTCTTCTTCTTCTTCCTCCTCCTCCTCCTCCTCCCCTCCTCCTCCTCCTCTTGATAAACATTTGACTTCAAATCCAATATCCATTGTATTTATTCACTTTTCAAGGAAGCAGAATCAGAAAATGGCTTCTAATAATGAGACAGAGAACCTTTATGCTGTGTTTAGGCAACCTACGAGATGATGGACATTTTGTGATTTTCAGTATCTGTTCCACAGAAATTCTTGGAAATGAAGATGATGCAAAAAGCTGTTTCATTTTACAATATGTCATATTCCTATGTATTTGTTTATAATAATTTTTAAAACTAAATCAAGTGCACCTGGGAGCCTAGAAACATAGATAAGATTTTTTTTGCAGGCATCTGGAATCAAAAAGCAATCCATAGACTTTTATGGCTTAAGTTCTTTAGTTTCCTCCCAGCCTATTCTTAATATTGTTTTATAAAAAATAATGAGAATAGCCAATCTTATAACAATAAACATATTCTTTTGTTTTTTTATTACAAAAACTTTTGTGCTGTTTAGATCAAAATTGTCTGCTATCACTGCATAATAGTGGTATAATGAAGCATCCAATATGAAATGCATAAACTAATTTTAAATTCTCTGCAATTCTAAAAAGTGCTAACAGACAAAAGTGTAGATTAATTAATAAAAATATGACCTCCAAGTTTTAAAAAAATGAATTTATAGAAAAAGGCTCATCTAAAAAATCCAGATGTCCAATGGATGATGAGTGGGATGTATTTCTATAGAAAGAAATTCCATCCATAGTGAGTCACCATCTAAATGATATTATAGCTCAATGTTATCTGCAAAAGTGTTGACTCTATTCTCTCTATTCACTCTACTGCCTGTAGAGTGAATAGGAAAAAGACTAGACACATACAGCTGTACAAAAGCACAGAATATTACATTGTGTTCAGAATTCAATTTCATTAAGTTGGCAAGGTCCTAAAATATGCTTTAAAAAGTGCAATCCCAAGTCGGATATAGTAATGATGAAGTTAGATTTCTAGAGATTTCATCTGAGGTTTTGTTATTTTGTCTTACATGAATTTGATTTTTATGTAATCTTGGAAACATGTGCATTGTGCAATTGAGTTCTGTTGTTTTAACTGTTAATGTGTATTTGAAATATTGAATCAGTCTATTTATACCATAGCATTTATTTGCTTTCTAAATATCCTTTGGGGTTTGTTTGTTTTTAGGGTGGAAGGACACATTGTATACAGGAAGTGTGTCCCATTCTCTCATGTCCACAACACCTCAGTCACACGCCTTCTGGACAGTGTTGCCCAAAATGTGTAGGTAAGTGGTTACTTTCATAGGAATATTGCATTTACAATGAACATTTCTCACAATCCATAACATATTAGAAAATAAGTTGCTAACTCAGTAAATTGCATTGCGTTGTTAAAGCAGAGTAGTGATCAAGTTAATTTTGTGAACCATGGACCACAATTATTGAAAATACTATATTGCATAATTTTTATATTATGTTATATTGTGTTTATATTAACACAATATATATGCTGTGTTTCAAATAGAACTCTAAAAATGCTTATTGCTTTTACATTTTACATTCATGTTCCCACTTGCTATGAACCATTATTTTGGAGACTGAATTTAGAGCACCACAGGGTCCTAATTTATTTTCCATTTTTATTTATAAGAAATAAGCTTAAATCTTGATTATGTTTTTAGTTACAGGGACATATCGTAACTTTTAGAGAAATTTTGGTTCCAAATGTTTATATAAACAAGAGCAAACTCCACTCTTTCTAGCACTGAAAATGTTATCTAGCCAGGTAATAAAACATCTGCAAGAAAACAACCAAGCTCAAGGGGTAACAAGGGCTCTTTTTTTGTACAAGTTGTGAAAAGAGTTTTTGCCATTAAACTTTTTTTTTTCTGGTATGGCATGACTCTGAAATGGACATATATAAATTATAATTGTAATAACGTTTTCCCAAAGCAGACTATTAATATTCCATAGGTATATTCTCAGTACACTGGAGGTAAATGATCTGCCCTACATAACAGGGTATGTTATCATGTTGTTAACTGGTTCAGATTCTTGCAGCTGAGATGTAGTAACTTTATCTTCTGCAGCCTGAAATTTCTAAATTCTAACGTATCAGTATGCCTGAATGGTGTCAAATTGAAGAAGGCTAGCATAGAAATAAATTTTACCTTTTGCTTCTTTAATGAACTCAGGTAGAAAGCTTAGGAAAATAACTGTTCTCCATATTGCGGAATGCCATTGCTAGTCAGAATAAAAGGTGTTGAATTCATTGGATATGAAATTATGCTATCATAGATTTAACACTACTTTTATTATTATTTTTACACTCTATTTCACAATAAAGTAACTGACTTACACAGGCAATAATACATTGCAGCTGACAGTTGATTTTGCTACAAAGCAGTTTCCTTTTAACCACATTCCCTTTCTCTTATTTATATGCAGGGCAGAGGAAAGTATTTGATCTTCCATTTGGAAGTTGCCTCTTTCATAGTGACGTTTATGACAATGGAGCCTCCTTTATGTATGACAACTGTACAAAGTGTACATGCAGGGTGAGGCATTAATACTTCTTTTTTATGATAAATTTGATATACTTTGAGACTAGTGAACTTGCTGCCACTGACTTTTGTAATATGACAGTTACTTCTCACAAGTCTCTGAGAATAGGTAAGTTCAAGAACTGGAAACTTGGAAACACACATTATTTCTGTATGAATATTTAACTCCTGTTTTAAAGTTTTTGTGTATTGGAGCCAAAATATCTAAAACTTGCCTGTACATGTTGCTGTCTTCAGATCCAGGCACACAATTACTCAAGGCAGTTGTGGAAGAGGCATGCATAGTCTGAATGTGGACATAGACGGCTCTCCTTATTTGCAGAGATGGGGTTGCCCCTTTCCTGGTTATCTACAGAAACTACTATGTTGGCAGAAGCCAAACTACTTCATCTTTCTTTTGCCAGCTCACTCTGATTATGTGCCAGTAATTTATTCATTTATTTATTACATTTACAATATATGCCACCCATCTCACTCTGAAGAGTGACTCTGGGTAGTTGTCATAAATGTTCCAGAAGAAAATCTGTACAATTTTCAAGCCAAAGAGCCCATCAAATAATTATTAGTATGTCAAGTTAGCTAAGGGTCATTTGGTGGATCGGGAGTCTTGAGCAATCAGAATAATTTTTTTTGTCCATGTCCTTGAGTTATTGTTGACTCCTGGTGACTGCCTAGGTTAGTCCCTACAGCAGCGGTTCTCAACCTATGGGTCGCGACCCCATTTGGGGTCGATCGCCCATTTTTCGGGAGTCGCCAAAGGCGGCGATCCGCATTTTTCGCGGTGTCGTGCACGCACGCCGCGCATGGGGGCAGCACTGCGCATGCGCGCCGCGCATGGGGGCGGCACCGTGCATGCGCGCCGTGCATGGGAAGGAGCCCCGTGCATGCGCATCGTGCATGGGGCGGCGCCGTGCACGCGCGCCACGCATGGGGGCGTCGCACATGCGCATCACGCATGGGGGCGGTGCCACGCATGTGCGGCACGTGTGGGGGCCCTGCCCCCATGTGCGCGGCCCGGCGCATGCGCAGAACGTTTGTGTGACGGGGGTCGCCGTCACACAAACGTTGAGAAGCACTGCCCTACAGTTTTATTGGCAACATTTCAAAAGTTGCCCTTACCTTTTCCTAAGGCTGAGACAGAGTGACTGGGCATTTATTTATATTTATTATACACAAATATTCATATAGTGATTTACAGGCAGAATTTAAAAATAAAGTTTAATTGCCCATTTTGTTACTTAGTTAGCCTATCTAAAACATTAGTGGAAAATATAATGCAGAAGTTTTATCGGGTTTTGAGATCTATTTAGAAAATACAAATAAGTTTACAAGGTATTATCCATTGCCTCATCCCTTCCAGGCTGATACCGGCACTAAAAGGCTCATGGGCAGGGATTCAAAAGCATAGCTTTTGATAAGATAGTTTTTATTTCAGCTTCTAGAAAAACCATTAGCACAAAGAAAATCAAAACTGCCAACAGGAAGACTGAAGCTTACATAGAGAGCAGACCCAAGATTAAAATTTGCATCTTAACAGGCAAGAGCCATTTATTTTTCAGCAGGAAAACTGTGCATTGTTATCATGGTGGCTCCCTCTCAGGCCTTTTGCTTTTGGCCTTGCCTGCCCTAATCTTTGGCCTCATGTATAAGTCTGCCCTGAGAGGGATGCTTCTAGATTTGTGTGAATAGCAAGATCCACACTCGAGATTGATGCTGGTTGAAAGAGAGCCGCTGAGGGTGGCATTTCAGATATTTGCTAATTCAAGAATAGCATTGTTCTAGTGTTGAAGTCACTAAGAGTCATTTTGTAGGAAACAACTGCAAATGTTAATGGTATCCTTCAGCTTCCAGGCTGAAAAATATGGTTGAGAATGCTCCATGGCCTCTAAAATTCCGAAACCAGCACTGGAAAGCATTAATGCCACTAAAAGGTCCCAAGAACACACAATTAATTTAATTTTGAAAAGGAAGCCCAGCAATGACTCCATCCATTTCTGGATTCCCATGTAGTGGTAAGAATTTGGGCAAGTACAAGGCATAGTGATGAACATACGAATAGCAGTATAAGAGTCTGAGTGTGGATGCAAAGTAAAGAAAGGAGCCTATTCCAGTGTTGTTCCGATGAAGTTGCTTGTGTAATGTAGCGGCTGAATCATTCTGGAGTAGCATAATCTCTAAACATATTCAGTTTTAACTAACTGAATCTTAAATGTGGGGATCAGTTTGTTACTTGTATGGAGGCTCATTTGTTTTTCTTTCCATGCAGGATTCCACTGTGGTGTGTAAGAAAAAATGCTCCCCTCCCGGAGGTTGTATCAAAGCCAGAGACGAGTGCTGCAAGGAGTGCATTTCATATGTGTCTCCTGAGGAAAAAAAAGTGTGCAAGTTTGGAAATAAGGTCTTCCAGGTACACTTTCTTAAACTGTGTCTCAGGATGACTTCACTAGACCATTTGATTTCTTAACAAGTTGTAGTACATTCAAAAATCATGCTTTTAGTATTTTTTCCCTGATGCTTTAGCCAAATGAACATAACGTAAAAATGCAGTAAAACTGAAGAAATTGTCAAATTAGCTAGTCCTTTGGTAGAGCACTCTGATGCATTTTCCCTGGGGCAGATGACCAATCAGCTGTTCCTTTAAATGGAATGCTATGAATCTGCATAGCATGCTTTGCAGATTTGCTTTGTCTTTTGCATAGAATGCACTGAATTGTTTTTTTTAAAAAGCATACAGTACTGTATTTCTGATGGTCTTGGAAGGAAAATTTTGCAGGCACCAATCTAGCCAAAGACCTCTTTTCCCACTCCACCTTCAAGTGAGCCAATAAGAGGTTAGCTGATGTTTCTGAATATTATTCAGGGCTTACAGGGCTTCACGCATTGGGATATCATTGGGACAGCAGATTATTGCAATATATCATAGGAACATATTGGAATAATTTGCTCCTGCTTTCCTTCTACCCAAGGTCCATCCAAATTTGGACATTCCCTCCAAATGCTTCCAATATTTTTGGGTCTCTGTGCTTTTAAGAGGTATAGGATATTTTTCCCCATTCCCACCCCCACACTTAATTCTTTATTGGACCTATATAATTGTGTTGAGAGCGTGATTTTTTTTTTCTTTTGCACAAACCCACAGTGTAAAATTCTCATTTGCAGTAAGTTGAAACAGACTTTCCGGTTAGTTAACAGACAAAAGAATTCATGAATTGTCTTTTTATTCTTTCTAATGTGGAAATGGGGGGGGGCAGCGGGGATAGATAGAAATAAAAAGGTATGTAGACATAAATTGAAATGTAAAACATTAGAAAAGAGAGGAGATACATCTCACAGTTATAATGACTGAAACCTCAAAATTATTTTAGGCGTATCTACAGACTTTGAGTTTTGTTTTTTAAATAGATGGTTCACACTTATCAGTTTCAAAGAAAGTGAAGCTTAAGATAGAAGCTATGAAACAAAAGGAAAGAACAACCAGTACTTACAAAACATAGGTCAATATTTTCAGAAATCAATATTTTGGAGACATTGGTTTTTTACACCAATCATATTTAGTCCAACCTCTTAAAGTAGCTGCCTTAAGGAAATTGATAATAATGAAGACATGAACAATCTACAACAATATACCTGAAAACTCTAACAAGGTTATTTCTGTGTAATTAATATGGGTAGCATGATAATACCCTATCATGTTATTCTGCAGTTATCTGTCTATATTTTTCTTTTAAAAAAGAGATATTTAGTTTATACAATCATTTTCAAAGCTGGGATTACCAATGGTAAGTGCAACCACTTGTAAAGTGTGATGTTACATGACTGCATCAACTTAACCATGGCAGTTGCAGTAGTTGCCGTCATTAGGTGAAATCTGTGCGGTTGGCATAATTGCCATTTGTGACCTGTTGGCTTATTCATTGATTTGCTTGTCAGAAGTCAGCAGTGAAGATCAGAAATTGGGTTCATGTGACCTCTGGACACTGAGACAATGTAATTGAGAGCAGGTGGTCAAGTGCTTGACTTGTGATCATGTGACTCTGGGACCACTGCAACAGCTGCAACCATGAAGTCCAGTCATCAGGTTCCCTTCATTCACTGCTATCATATGTTTGAACAGTTGCTGAAGAAGTGGCCTTATTATCTTAATTTCTACTACGGGTAGTCCTCAACTTACGACCCCAACTGAGCCCAAACTTTTTGTTGCTAAGTGAGACATTTATTAAGTGAATTTTGCTCCATTTTACAACCTTTCTTGCCATAGCTGTTAAGTGAAACACTGCCATTGTTAAATTAGTAACACAGTTGTTAAGTGAATCTGGTTTTCCCATTGCCTTTACTTGTCAGAAGGTCACAAAAGGGGATCATATGATCCCAGGATACTACAACAGTCATAAATGTGAGTCAGTTCCCGAGCGTCTGAATTTGGATCACAGGACCTTGAGGATGCTGCAACAGTCATAAGTGTGAAAAATGGTCATAACTTATTTTTTTCAGTGCTGTCACTAAATGTCACTGTTGTAAGTTGACGACTACTGTAAAAAAATTTATTTAGAAGATTACTTATAATAAAGAAACTAAGGATAGTGGAAAAATTTTATCAAAAAATTAATCAAAAGCTTTTATAAGGTAGCTATTAAAAGACTAGTTCTACCCCCTCAATTGATGAAGGAATATTTTAGGAACTTCATTTGGCATATGTAAACTGTAAGAAATTGAGTCAATGAATTATTTTAGCAACACATTGGAATCATAGTGTCTTTAGAGAGGGCCAATGGGGTGGGGGAATTTAAGTCAAATGTATCTTTACCTGCCAGAACATAGGTAATTTCTCCTAAATGTTTTCAGATGTTTAGTAGATTAGATGTCTGCCTTAGCCCTGTAAGTAATCTAAATTTGAATTCAGTATTAGCTGTATTTCTGGCTTAAAGCAGAATGAGGCTACATCTGGGAATAAATTTTCTGTCTTAACGGAACAATCAAATATTTTTATGTGCAATAACTTAAACATGCCAATCACAGCGGCTATATTGAATCAGACTTTTCTAATTATGTCATCCCAAATGAGACAATCAGGATACAGGATAACCACAAATTGAATAGTTTTCTTTCCTAAGAAAGAAATATAGCTAATCAGGTGATTGATGGGAAATTCTATTGTGTCTTCATTAAGTCTGGAGTTACACTTCTCTATGTGGAAGAACCCAAGTGAAAAATTATCTCTGATTCCTTGCCAATCCAACCAGTTGGAAATGGACACCTGATAACTGATTTAGACTAAATAATGACATAATTCCAACATGAAGAATATTGTTTTTTCTTTCAATAACAGGATATAAAACACTAGAATAACTTCTTCCTACCATCCCAATGTGCTTTCCTTCTTGCAGGATAGAGAGATGTGGTCCTCTGTTAACTGTACCATCTGTGCCTGTGTGAAAGCCAAGACGGAATGTCGCAAGAAGCAGTGTATTCCAGTCAGCAGCTGCCCTCACGTGAGTGTAACAATAAATTATTTCAAAGGAGTTCAGCTCAGTAATAATAGGCATAAAAACAGTTTCACCAAGAGCCTACCTAAAGGCCTCTGTAAGTCTATACTTCGTTCGTTACGCCCTCCTTTTTATTGCACAAATACGTTTTGAACCAATGAACTTGAAGTGAGCTTCAGATTTATTCAGGGCATGCTGCTCCACATCTATCATATGTTTTTAAACACATCTGCTATTTTAACAAATAAACAAAACAGAAATGTAGCTGGTCATATACCTGTGCCAAATGAAGAAAAAACAAGAGCAGCTGCTTTTATTGCATAACCTCTCCCCAAAATCTTAACTAGTTTACTTTTTTTAAACTCACAGACAGAAAAGACAAACTATAGAGACATACCTAGATTGTATTATTAAAAAGAAGGAAAGCGGAACTCAGAGATTCCAGATAGGCCCTGCTTATAAATTCATGGAGAAAAATGGCCCATTTCTAAGGAACCCCTCAATTGATTAATAACACTCACAACACATGTTATCAATAATATATGGCTTTCTTTTACAAGTCAGAAACAGAATCCTATGCCAGCAGCTCTGTTCAAGTAATGACTTATCAAAGAATAACTTCGTTTGAATTCCAGACACTTTCTTCTGGGAAAATGGCTACACCATTTTATGCAAACTCGGAGATAAGGCTATCCACTGAAATTAGAAAGCATTCAGATATATTTCTCACCTCCATTCTAGAGTAGCTTGTCCACTTAAGTCATTTCCTGCTAATCTGATGTTTGTGGAATTATGGGAGAAGGATGTCTGTCCTGATTAAAAGGATCAGATGGTGCTTTATGGCATCACATGAACTTATTTTTTTGTTTTATCCTAAACTCAGAGCAAAAATATAATGATAAGTTTAGACTTCATTCTATGTAGATCAGGGGTGTCAAACTCGCAACGTCATGTGACATGTCACAACGTATCACGACTTTTTTTCCATTGCCGGCAATGGGGTGGGCATGGTTTCGGCATGACTCATCCAGCCCACAGTTCACTGCTAGCATTACATATATACAATACTAGGGGTCCCCAACTGCCGATCTGTGGACCAGTACCAGGATGTGCCATGCTAGCAACCGGTCCATAAAAACAAGCAAAGCCCCATCCAGGTGATGCAAGCAGCACACAAAACCACGCACCCTCTGGTCCACAGAAAAACCTCTCTCCACGGAACCAGTCCCTGGTGCCCAAAAGGTTGGGGACATTTATACAATACTACATTTTTTCCTTCTATAAAACTTAAGGTACAACATTTGATTTTCTCCTGTGAAGTAGATTAGAGACTAATCTGTGAAGGTCTAAGATGTTTGTGTGCTGTTCTGACTCATAGGCAACATAACAGAATAACAGAGTTGAAAGGGACCTTGGAGGTCTTTTAATCCAACTCATTGCTTAAGCAAGAAATCCTATACCATCTCAGACAAATTATTGTCCAATCTGTTCTTAAAAAGCTCATGTTTTGGCGTGCCCACAATGTTTGAAGGCAAGTCATTCCACGGATTAATTGTTCTCACTGGCAGGAAACTTCTCCTTAGTTCTAGGTTGCTTCTCTGTTTGATTAGTTTCCATCCATTGCTTCTTGTTTTGCCTTTAGCGGCTTTGGAGAATAGCTTGACTCCCTCTTCTTTGTGTCAGCCCCTGAGATATTGGAACACTGCTATCATGTCCCCCCTCGTCCTTCTCTTCACTAGACTAGACATATCCAATTTCTGCGACAGTTCTTCATACATTTTAGTCTCCAGTCCCCTAAATATCTTTGTTACTCTTCTCTGCACTCTTTCTTAAACATAATTTGTTCACTTAGCGTCATTTTCTGTATTCACACTGCATTTCTAATTGGAAAATTAGAGTGCTGGATTGTTCATACCATACCATATCATAACCTGGTGGTTCATACCACAAGGAGAGCAGTACATTTGACCATATGGCTGCCATATATATATCCAAGAGCCGAGCGCAAATGATTGGAGGCTGCATATAAGCCCTCCCAACAACTGCCGTTTACACCCTGATGATGTCAAGAGCTCTTGACGAAAGCTAGGTTTAGTAAATAAAAGTTTTAACATTTTTAACTTTTGTATAATTTTATTCTCTTGGTGTTCAACTATTTATTGATTTTAATATATATATATATATATATATATATGTGTGTGTGTGTGTGTGTGTGTGTGTGTGTGTATGTGTGTATATATATATATATATATATATATATATATATATATATATATATATATATATATATTATTAAGAATATTAAAAACAAAACAGTGATTCCTGGGTAGACTCATATTAAACAATAAAATATACGAACACCAGGAAGTTATAAAACTATAAAAAGTTTTAATAAAACCAGAATAAAACCAAGCTTTCGCTGGCATCTGCCAGCATCATCAGGGTAGTCTCCAGTCGATGGGAGAAGCTATTTATAAGTGTGGCGTTCTTTGCACCCGGCTTCTTGACCTCGTCACCCCCATTGAAGAGAAAATAGAAAGGGGAGTTAATAAAGTGATACGAAGGATCGGGAAACAGGATGATGTAAACACATTGGAATCATGGGCTACAGAGACAAACAATGAGGGTATAGTTTTGAAAGAGGATCGTAAACAGAGAAACAGGGGGAGGAGAAGAGAAATAGAGAGTACCAAGAAGGAGGATGAGGTGAATAAACAACATAAACACAGACAGTGCACATCTAATTACGTGGAATTAAGGAGTTCCCCTGACTTACAGTTATTCAAAGAAGGGAGGAAGAGCTGCGGTACCAGCACAAGTAAGGAAAGTGAGGAAATTACAGCTTACAACACAGAAACTACGATCAAAACGCAGGTGGATTGGCTGGGACCCATGACAAGGTCAAGAAGCAGGGCACAAAGAACGCCACACTTATAAATAGCTTCTTCCATCGACTGGAGACTACCCTGATGATGCTGGCAGATGCCAGCGAAAGCTTGGTTTTATTCTGGTTTTATTAAAATTTATACATACAGACATATATACAGACACCCGCGAAAACCTCAGAAAACATATATATATATATATATATATGTGTGTGTGTGTGTGTGTGTGTGTGTGTGTGTGTTTTCTGAGGTTTTCGCGAGTGTTTGTATATAGGTCTTTGGTTATTCAGGTTTTCTCCCGCGTAAAATTGGAAGTGTCTTGGTGATGTTTCGACGAAGTCCCATTCGTCATCTTCAGGCTGGTGTGTTCAGCTTCGTGCTTCGAATATATATATAGTAAAATTCAATAAATATCGATCACCAAGAGAATAAATAGCAAAAAATTTAATGAACCAAGCTTTCATCGGGGACACCCGACATCGTCAGGGTTTAAAAGTAGTCACTGGGGAGAAGCCTTATATAAGGTGTTAGCTGCCTGCATCTGGCTTCTAGATCGTGTCATCGAGCCCAGCTGATCGTGCCATGTCCTAAATACACCATCTACGTCAATGTGTGGTTCTTTCCCATACCCTTCTCCGTACTCTACTATAAGAATTTTCCTCATTGACCCTGGGGCTAAGCGGGGTTCTTTTCGCTTCACTAACAGATGGTGATTGTCTTCCCCCCTTTCTGCATACAGCGTCCTTCATTAGGGGGCTGCAGTTCTCTCCGAATCTCACCATACGCCTCAACCTTACTGCGATCGGATTTCTTCGCCCTTTGCGATTGTACTCTGCCCCTTCCCTATAATCCGCTCTCTCTCTATATATAGTAAATGACCAGCTGTAAACTATCTGTAATGAGTGGCCATAGAATATAATGGAACAAAACTGCTGTCCTTAGCACATTTTAATGCTATTTTCATGGACATATTGATTGACATTGTTTCTCAACCCTGTTTTAAAATAATACTTTATCTCTAACTAGCAAACTCAGTGTTCCACATGTGGCTGTTAATAAAGCCTTTGTTTGAAAGCTCAAATTAGCTCTCTTAGGAGGCTTTCATCCATTGAAAAACTGCAGTTGAATTATCTTCTTCTTCCATTTGTCCCTCTCTCCACCTCTTTACTACCAGGAGTGTAAAGACATGTGCCACATGTGCCATTAAAAATAAAGATCATATTCATCTTTCTTTTTGCATATTTTATTATTATTATTATTATTATTATTATTATTATTATTTATTGTTAATTGCGAAGTCGTGTCCGACCCATCGCGACCCCATGGACAATGTTCCTCCAGGTCTTCCTGTCCTCTACCATCTTCTGGAATCCATTTAAGTTCACACCTACTGCTTCAGTGACTCCATCCAGCCATCTCATTCTCTGTCATCCCTTTCTTCTATTGCCCTCAATCTTTCCCAGCATTAGGCCCTTCTCCAGTGAGTCCTTCCTTCTCATTACGTGGCCAAAGTATTTGAGTTTCAACTTCAGGATCTGGCCTTCTAAAGAGCAGTCGGGGTTGATCTCTTCTAGGACTGACCGGTTTGAACGCCTTGCAGTCCAAGGGACTCGCAAGAGTCTTCTCCAGCACCATAGTTCAAAGGCCTCAATTCTTTGGTGCTCAGCCTTTCTTATGGTTCAACTTTCACAGCCATACATTGCAACTGGGAAAACCATGGCCTGGACTATACGCGCTTTTGTTGGCAGGGTGATGTCTCTGCTTTTTAGTATGCTGTCTAGATTTGCCATAGCTTTCCTCCCCAGGAGCAAGAGTCTTTTAATTTCTTGGCTGCAGTCCCCATCTGAGGTGATCTTGGAGCCCAGAAAAATAAAATCTGTCACTACCTCCATTTCTTCCCCATCTATTTGCCAGGAATTGAGAGGGCCGGATGCCATGATTTTGGTTTTCTTAATGTTGAGTTTCAAGCCAACTTTTCCACTTTCCTTCTTCACCCGCATCAAGAGGCTCTTTAGTTCATCTCCACTTTCTGCCATTAGAGTGGTATCATCTGCATATCTTAGTTTGTTGATATTTCTCCCGGCAATCTTAATTCCAACTTTTGTTTCATCTAGCCCTGCCTTTCTCATGATGTGCTCTGCATATAAATTAAATAGGCAGGGCGACAGTATACAGCCTTGCCGGACTCCTTTTCCAATTTTGAACCAATCAGTGGTTCCATGTCCAGTTCTCACTGTTGCTTCTTGACCCTCATATAGGTTTCTCAAGAGACAAATGAGATGGTCTGGTACTCCCATCTCTTTAAGAACTTGCCACAATTTGTTGTGATCCACACAATCAAAGGCTTTTGCATAGTCAATGAAGCAGAAGTAGATGTTTTTCTGGAACTCCTTAGCTTTCTCCATGATCCAGCGTATGTTGGCAATTTGATCTCTAGTTCCTCTGCCTCTTCGAAATCCTGCCTGTACTTCTGGTAGTTCTCGATCCACATACTGCTGGAGTCTAGCTTATAGAATTTTAAGCATAACTTTACTAGCATATGAAATGAGTGCAATGGTGTGATAGTTTGAACATTCTTTGGCATTGCCTTTCTTTGGAATTGGAATGTAAACTGACCTTTTCCAATCCTATGGCCACTGTTGAGTTTTCCAAATTTGATGGCAAATTGAGTGTAGCACTTTTACTGCATCGTCTTTTAAGATTTTGAATAGCTCAGCTGGAATGCTGTCACTTCCACTAGCTTTGTTGGTGCTCAGATTTTCTAAGGCCCATTTCACTTCACATTCTAGGATGTCTGGTTCGAGGTCAGTGACCATCTCATTGTGATTATCTGGGACGTTAAGCTCATTCTTGTAGTATAGCACAAATTTATTAAGATGCTGAGAGGTTTTTTTGTTTCAGGAAGGAGATACCATAGTACATCAAAAGCATTGCATTGAGTGCTTTTCCCATCCTATATTCTTTGTCCTTTTTCATTTAGGGAAAGATCCTCAACCGAAAAGGATGCTGTCCCATTTGCACTGAAAGTGAGTAAGTTCATTTATATACTGTTTCCCCCCCCCCACAACACTGTTCTTCTCAGCAAAATAAGGATAAATTATTGTATGTTAGTCCTCATTTTGTTCAAGAAAGTAACTAGTTTCAGTAAGATTGAGTTTATGAGAAATGTTAAAGAACAAATAAATACATCAATATAAATCTCGATAATATTGCTATTGCTTATGTCCAAACTATTTCTTTGTTAATGAAAAAGATGAAATCTATAATGAGAACCTTAAAATGCTTGGTGTCATTAAAGAGCTATTCCAAGATAATCTACATATATCTTAATATGAAATAAATTCAGTTAAAATATATTTGAAATAATGTTCAGTGCCATGAAAATTTTTAAAATTTTACATACAAATTGCAATGAAATTAATAATTATTAATAATAATGAATTATTAAATTAATAAAAAATTAATAATATCATGGAATTTGCTGTTGGGAATTGCTGGGAATTTTGCTGGGAATTTCTAGTCTTGCTACTATTTGTATAAAATAATAAAAATTTTACAAATAATATCCTTATTTAAAGACAGGGTAACCCAGATTTGTAATTGCAAATATAACAAATCTTTATTATAGCATTTAGCTGTTTAATTTTATTGAGCCATGAGTTTGAAGTTTTAACTAAAGAACAGGTCATTTATTAGCCTTAAGTAAGTCTTCCTTTTCATCCTCACCTTTGATTTTTTGCCACTTGAAAAACTCCTGACCTGAATTGTCTGCCCTTGACAGGCAAACTGATTCAGTATAATGCAACTTCCAATATTGCTATATTCATTCATTGATGCGCACATTAATAAATTAATCCATTCACAAATTAATTATTAATTAATGCATCTTTCATTGTTATAAAGATTTATCTGGCAATTGCTTGTAACAATTGATTTTAAATTTAATGGAAGCCATGAATAGGTCAAAGTATCTCAGTATTCATTCTCACTTTTGGAGGGCATTTTTGTACACTTTTTGTGGGTATTATTTATACAAGTATTTTATATATCAAATTCTGTATGAGCATTTTGTATGCCTCAAGAACACGTTACATCTGGATACTTTGGAATTCACTTGGACTGCCCAGCTGTTTTTTTATACAGAAAGCAGCATTGAATTTCAGGGCTTTCCACCTGAGAGATGATCATCATCAGAAAGCGATAATTTTGTTCTTCTCTGTTATGATATGTGGGATAGTAAATACCACAAAAACAGTCCAAAAATCTTTTAGAATTCCTTCCAGTGGGTATGTCATTTAATGAATCCATTCACCAAACCTTGTTTGCCAGGTCCAGAGACAATCAACTATATGATTTGCTTACATTTCTGACAGAGAGTGCTATCATTCGGCAAGTAGACAGAATGCCTTCAGTCCTAAGGAACTGTTTTATTTTGGAAAATGATGTCTATTTAGCAGAGCTATAGGAAATCCATGCTCAGACGATGTTCTGACAGCAAAGCAGGATAGAAATGTTTTAAGCTGTATTTCATTTCAGCAAGTGATTAACTCCCGTTTAAATCAACAAGAGTTGAAAGAGATTCACTTTGGTAGAAATGTTCTGTTTAGCATTTGCAACTGAGTTCTATTGAGTTTTGGTGTCTCAGGTTTTCTGCTTGCCTAAGTCCTCTCCAGTCTGGAATAATTTAAAATGCAGTGATGCAGGAAATTATGTGTCTCTGCAGCTAAACAGTGACCCTGATGGCTTGCCAAGATAGTCTAGATTCAACTGCCAAGGTTTGCCATGGCATGTTTGATGGACCAGAGATATATAGACTTTCAGTTCTTCATATTTTCTCCTATAAAATAAACACTTTTCCTCATTCCTATATTTCTGTAGGCCAAATATATCTGTAACAGATGTGTCCCATTGCTATTCTTCAGATGTGTTAATTAAACTGCAGGCAAAGTCACTGGGAATTCTAGGAGTTGCAGTCCAAAGTGTATGGAAAGCAGCAGCATAGAGATGGCAGGTCTGTTGGATGCAGGGAGATTTGCAACATATGGTTAAAAAAAAAGAAAAAAAGAAAGTCAAGATGGTGATGCAAAAACAGACGGAACTTCAATCACCCCCATTGCAATTGCCATCTTGACTTCTTTGACCATACCCTTCATATACCCTTGGCTGGATGTTTCACAATGGGAAGTGAGACCATGGTAATTTCTTCTCCATCATGAACCAAAGCACTGTTTGGTTATAAGGACACCAAAGGGAAATACCTGACCAACAGCATCAAAATAGTTGACCAATCCTCTGCAATCAATCTAAATATATAGTAAAAACACATTTTAAAAGACTTAAACTCTTTAATAAGTTGATATTATTTTTTAGAAGTTTTATTGAACTGGTTTTAATAATTTTTACTTATCTTTTATCTTTTGATTTTGGTGATCTGGATCAATTCTGTAGAAGGGATGTTACAAGCTATTTGTTGCTCAATAGATGTTACAATTATTAATGAAGAATTTTTTAGGCTAAATCTAGTTCACAGTTAAATATACCAATTTACATTTACTTTAATGACCTCTTATTTTCTCCTGTTATACTCCCCTTATGATTTAATAAGAATATTTTTTTTATCCAGGTTGTATCTAGTTTGCAGCTAATCTATCTTTTTCTTTATTTATGGGGCAATTGTGTTTGGGAGACCAAACAATCGAGGCCTTAGACCTTAGGGTTTTATTCGGTTCCAATCAAACACTGTTTCCCCTGAGGGATCTTTAATTGTTAAAATTATATTGGTCTATGGCTATTGTGAGTTCCCTGGTTTTTCTTTTTAACTCTCCTATTTTAAGCTGCATTAAAATATTATTGACAGAGACAGCACAGATGAATAACTTTGAAAATATTGAGCAACTACCAGAATATAAGATCTAAATATCAATCATTATTATATTTCTAATATCTATAACCAAATTCTCAACAGTGAGGCTGTGTACTAACCAGATTATTAGCCCAAGTATAGAACAAGTAGTACTTTTACTCTACAGTTTACTTGTCAGTTATGCTTGATGTGTGTGTCTCAGGAAGCAGGCCACTATGATCTGGCTGGAGATCAGTATCCATTCCATGGACCTGGCAGAATAGGGAATGTTATGATTCAGGAAGGTCTGATCTATCACCTGACTTCTTGGTGAGGTTGACTCTGGCATTCTATGTAAAGGCTACTTTGTAAAACAAGGTGGTGAAAAGAGAAGGCTCCAGCAAGGGGCCCTGTGGTTGTGGTATACAAGTCTAAGGGGGAAGCAAAAACCATCATCTTCTCCCTCTGCCTTCATTATAGTTAGGGAAATACCCCCAAATTACAAACATGTCCTGTAACTACTCTTAAAAATAAGCAAAACCTTTGCTCACTTAAATGTTCAGGACTTGTACTTTCATTCTAATGAGTCACCCACAGCATCTTATGACTGCTTCTGTGTTGTGTTGTAGTATCAACAGTATTGTGTAGTGAGCTTTAGTAGGCAAGGAGCAGACCAGCATAGTTACAATGTTATTTATTGACTCAAACTAGAACTGGAGAACTACAGGCAATTGCCTATAATTTATACTCTGAACCCACAGGGCCTTAACCAATCACAATACTTGAAAAACCCGCCCAAATATGAATGTTCAAAGTTTCCCTTCAAAACAGTTGGAGTTAACAGTCAGGGTCATCTAAAGGTTAGTTACATTTTAGCTTCACAAGCAGTTGGAGTTAAGTTAGTTTCATTTTAGCAGGGATTAACACAACTTTATATTTATTCAATACATAACAAACAGCATCAGACCTGAGATAGGGAAATTTCAGCTTAATTCTACATTTAGCCAGGGAAGATAACCTTCATTAGATAATATTCCAATAAACTTTGAGTTAGTTATTGGAATATTACCTAATATTGAGTGAGTCTTCCTTGATTCACCACATAGGGTTATTGTGGATGCAAATTAGTGGGAAAAACTTCACATATTTCTCTTTGCTTCTTGCAACAAAGATAAACATACAGAATATAAAGAATATATTATTATTAGGAGTGATGATGTTACCTTCCTTAGACATTCCTACCAAGATCAGGGCATATCTACAGCCTTTAAGAGGAATAGTACAATTTTCAGTACAATTAAATCGTCTGTGTATTTGACAGTAAATCTCACTATGCTCACTGAACCCACTATGCCAGTGATGGAGAACCTTTTAGAGACCGAGTGCCCAAACTTCAACCCAAAACCCACTTATGTATCACCTGGTGCCGGGTGGGTGTGGCCTGCTGGATGGGCATGGCTACAGTGGTCATGGCAGATGGGTGGGCATGGCCAACTCGATGTTGCTCCTGGGGAGGGACACCTGTGGGGGCCGGGCAGGGTTGGGGGAGATCCAGGGGGTCTCTGGCGGATGGGGCAGTGGGCAGGAGGCTGGTCCTGTGGGGTGAGGCAAGGCAAGGTGAGGCAGGGTGGGGGTGCCATTGTCTCAGGGCGAGGCAGGGGCCTGGCACCATCACCCCTGCACAGAGGCCAGCAAGCGCATGGGTGCTGGGATGCATCTGGCCATGTGGAACCTCGGCGATTTAGCAGGTGGCTGGTTGAAGAGGACAGTTGCCATCTCTGGGGCATGGCACGGGTGCCCACAGAGAAGGCTCTGAGTACCGCCTCTGGCACATGTGCCATAGGTTCGCCACCACTGCACTATGTTCAACAAATTCACTACCAAATTAAATTGCAAGAATTAAAAAACAGCTCTTTCCCCCTCCCTTCTACACACACACACACACACACACACACACACACACACACACACACGAATTCCTTCTGCCCCTCCCCACTGTAGGGCTTTGGAGTGGGATCAGCTCTTATGTACTGGTGAGAAGAAAATCTACTGGATCCCTATTATCAGAACCCCCACTATATATTAAAAGGTATCTCAGGATCTTGTTCTTCATTCTCAAATAAACTAGTTGCTTGAGTTTTTGAGATAAGTTCCAGGGAGTTCAGTAGGACATATTCTTGCTATAGAAATTACACATTAAAGAAAAGTATGATTTTATGCATTGTTTTTATAATTTATCTGTCCCCCAATGCATATTTGTAACATAGAGAAGCCAGTCTGGTTATATTGTTATGCCAATGAGGACCATTCCAGATGTTTCATGGAAGTAAATCCATGTTTCTCATTGAAATACTTTTGATAAAGAGCCACAGTTAATATGGCTTTTCAGATTAATGTACCAGTATGGCTTTGATGTTTCCAGACATATGTCTTTTATACATTATTGGTTTTAAGTGTTTCTTGTACTTTAATATATAAATAATAAAGTTTTCCTTAATGTCGGAAGATTTTTTACATCCATCTATCTTTCCAAATTCTGAAATTGGTTTTGATGCTGCTTTTGTTTCTCACTTACCTGCAGAGCCTGGAGTTTGCACTGTATTTGGAGATCCCCACTACAACACTTTTGATGGACGGACATTTAACTTTCAGGGAACATGTCAGTACGTTTTGACAAAAGACTGCACTTCTACTACCTCACCATTCCAGGTGCTGGTAAAGAATGATGCCCGAAGGACTCGTTCGTTTTCCTGGACAAAATCTGTAGACGTTGTGCTGGGCAGCAGCACTGTCAGCCTCCATCAGCATCTCACAGTGAAGTGGAATAGGACTCGCATTTCTCTACCATATGAGACGCCACATTTTCACATTGACTTGGAAGGATATCTGTTGAAAGTGACAACCAAAGCAGGTGGGACTATAATATATGGCCTTCTACTAAATTCTCCATGATAGCACTACAATGAAATATAAATATAATTTAAATTTCCACATTCTGCAATAAGGTCATCTCGATTTATTAAAATGATGGGAATTCTAGTTTTCTATTACTGCATTTTCCCCAACATGGGATCTTATAGATCCGTGGTGGCGAACCTATGGCATGCATGCCACAGGCGGCATGCATGCAGAGCTGTCGCTGTGGGCACACACGCCATTGCCACAGAGGGATGCAGGGCGAGGCTCCTCCCCTTCCCCTCTCCAAGCATGCAGAGTCCAGGAACAGCTGCGAGAGCTGGGCGAGCTGTGGGAACCTATAAAAAAAGCAGTTTTGACAGGAGAGTCAGTGAGCAGCCTTTGGAAGTGACCAGTGGCGGGTTTCAAATCATTTAATAACTGGTTCTCTGCCTTGCATTCTCCTCCATCTTGGTCGGGCTGGGCAGCTTGGAGTGTTGCCTGCAGGAGGGGTCATCAGATCCCAGCTGGGGGAAGGTGAGGGGGTCTGGCTGGGGGGGCAGGAGGGCTGGGACACCTCCATGGAGGAAAGCTGGGACACTTCCATGGAGGACAGGTGCGGGCCCTGTCTACAAGGTGGCTCTACCTGGTGCGACGGTGGGGCTGCTCCTCCTGCTGTTCCGAGCCCCTTGACCAGCCAACCACACAGGCAAGCAGGAGGCAGTGGCAGTGATCTCTGCATCGCCAAGCCCGGCAGGCAGCAGATCTGGAAGTGAAGCTATCCCACCCATCCTTGCGCTGGTGGAGGCAGTGGTGGGGGAAGGTGAGCTGTGGCACACGCCCACCCCTCCCCACTGCCACCCCACATCATCCCACACACACATCCCAGAGGCATATGCAGGACGATGTGGGGCAGCAGCAGCAAAGGATGATGTGGAGCAGCAGCAGTGCCAGATACTGCCTTCCCCACCCCCACCAGCGGGCGGCACAGCTTCGTTTCCCGATCTGCCTGACACCATCAGGCCCCGAACACAGAGGCCAGTGAGCACTTGGGGGCTGACGGTGTCCATCAGTAGCCATAGCATAAAGGCTGTCCTTTATAATAGCGAACTAGCCACGGAACCCTGTTGGCGCATCCCTCCACTTGACGGCTGTAATGGGGACAGCTTCTGCTCTGCTCTGACCAGTCAACCATGCAAAGAAGCAGGAGGGGCACCTGGTGCATGAGATCTGCTGCCTCGTCGGGTTACCAGCAAGCAGCCGAGGCAGCTCAAGACCCCCGGCTGCCCCTCCACCTCCTCCTGCGTCCCTGCATGGTTGACCAGTCAGAGCAGCAGCAGAAGCCACAGATCCATCAAGTGGATGGGCCCAGCAGGGCAGGGGATTCCTTTCAGCTGTCCCAGGGCCATCTCTGCCCACACTGATGGGGCTCTGTGGCCACCCTGTGCCTCTGCTGCCTGCATCATCCCACATGCGCCTCCGGGACATGCATGCAGGATCATGTGGAGTGGCAGTGGGGAGGGTTGGGTGTGCACCACAGTTCACCTTCCCCACTACTACCTCCACCAGTGTGAGGATAGGCAGCACAGCTTCACTTCCAGATCTGCTGCTGGCCAGGCTTGGTAATGCAGAGATCACCACCGCCTCCTGCTTAACTGTATGGTTGGCTGGTCAAGGGGCTTGGAACAGCAGCAGGAGCAGCAGCCGCCACCCCCATCAGAGCCACCATGTAGACAGGGCCCGCACCTACAGTCCCAGGGCCTTCTCCGCCTACGCCGATGGGGCTGCACTCCACCCATGCTGATGAGACTGCCATGATGCAGGACAGCCAGCAGACTGTGGCTACTGATGGTCACCATCAGCCCCCATGCGCTCGGTGACCTCTGTGTGTGGAGGCTGATGGTGTCAGGCAGCATCTGCTCCAGCTCCTGCCCCGCAGCAATTGGCACACCCACCCTGCCTTGCCTCACCCCGCAGGATGAGCCTCTGGCCCATTGCCCCACCCACCAGAGATCCCCTGGATATCCCCCAACCCTGCCTGGCCCCCACAGGTTTTCCTCCCCACAAGCATCATCAAGGTGGCCACACCCACCCAGTCGGCCATGACCACTGTGGCCATGCCCACCCAGTTGGCCATGCCCACCCGGCACCCGGCGATAAATAAATGGGATTTGGGTTGCAGTTTGGGCATTCGGTCTGTAAAAGGTTTACCATCACTGCTATAGATGTGTGTGATTCTCATTGTAATGGAGAAAGTTTCAGTTCCAATATATCTGAATGGACCAGATTTAGGATGGCAAGATAATAGAGTAGAACTCAGAATAGCTAACATCAAAAAGTAATCCAATAGAAACAATAAGTAAAGAACTCAGTGTAATTAAAATATCCAAAGCAACCTAAAAAAGTAAGAATGTTCCATTTTTTAAGGATCTTTATGAAACAAATCAGATGAACAAGAATTTGATGGGTTTTTGATGAACTTGATGGGTATTTGATGGGTTTTTAAATCAAGATCACGTGCACTATTAAAATCACTTTAAAATGCCTTGGTAAGGCCACACTTGGAATACTGCATCCAGTTTTGGTCACCACAATGTAAAAAAGATGCTGAGACTCTAGAAAGAGTACAGAGAAGAGCAACAAAGATGATTAGGGGACTGAAGGCTAAAACATATAAGGAACAGTTGCTGGAATTGAGTATGTCTAGTTTAACGAAGAGAAGGACTAGGGATAAAAAGATAAAAAGGACAAGTATAGAAAGTGGAAAGACGGGCATATAACTAAGTCAGAATATCAACAAATAGCCCGAGCATACAAAGATGAAGTGAGGAAAGCTAAAGCTCAAAATGAACTAAGGCTTGCGACCAAAGTCAAAAATAACAAAAAAGCTTCTTTCAACATGTAAAAAACAAGAAAAAAATGAAGGAAATGATTGGTCCATTAGTGGATGAAAGTGGCAAGAAGGTGACAAGCAACAGGGAGAAAGCAGAACTATTTAACTCATTTTTTGCATCTGTCTTTACACAAAGGGAAAAAACAGACCAACCTACCAAAAATAGTGCCATAAAAAACAGAATAGAAACGCATGTCAAGATAGGCAAGAAAACGGTAAGTGTCCAGTCTAGATGAGTTCAAATCACCAGGACCAGGTGGATTACACCCCAGGGTTTTCAAGGAACTGGCAGATGTGATCTCAGAACCACTGAACTATATTTTTCAAAGATCCTGGAGCACAGGGGAACTACCAGAGGACTGGAAAAGAGCTGATGTAGTTCCCATCTTCAAAACAGGAAAAAAAATGGACCCAGGAAATTACAGACCTATCAGCCTGACCTCGATACCTGGGAAGATTCTGGAAAAGATAATCAAACAACGAATCAGCGAACACCTAGAGGCAAACAAAGTCATTACTAAAAGCCAACATGGGTTTGTCAAAAACAGATCATGCCAGACAAATCTTATTGCATTCTTTGACCAAGTGACAAAATTACTGGATCAGAGGAATGCTGTGGATATAATTTACTTGGACTTTAGTAAGGCATTTGATAAAGTAGATCACAACCTACTACTTGATAAGATAGAAAAATGCAGGTTAGACAGCATCACCACCAGATGGATCCGTAACTGGCTGACCAGCCGTACTCACCGTGTGGTCCTCAATGGAACCATATCTACATGGAGGGAAATGTATAGTGGGGTGCCCCAGGGCTCTGTTCTGGGCCCAGTGTTCTTCAACATCTTCATCAACGATTTGGACGAGGGATAGATGGGGAAATCATCAAATTTGCAGACGACACCAAGCTGGCAGGAATAGCCAACACTCCAGAAGACAGTCTTAGGATACAGGAGAATCTGGACAGACTTGAACACTGGGCGCTATCTAACAAAATGAAATTCAATGGTGAAAAAAGTAAGGTTCTACATTTAGGCAAGAAAAACCAAATGTACAGGTATAGTATAGGGTTTACCTTGCTCAATAGTAGTAACTGTGAGAGGGACCTCGGAGTCCTAGTGGACAATCACTTAAATATGAGCCAGCAGTGTGCTGCAGCTGCCAAAAAGGCCAATACAGTGCTGGGCTGCATTAACAGAGGGATAGAATCAAGATCACATGAAGTATTAATACCACTTTACAATGCCTTGGTAGGGCCACACTTGGAATACTACATTCCGTTTTGGTCACCACGATGTAAAAAAGATGTTGAGACTCTAGAAAGAGTACAGAGAAGAGCAACAAAGATGATTAGGGGAATGGAGGCTAAAGCATATAAGGAAAAGCTGCTGGAATTGGGTATGTCTAGTTTAATGAAGAGAAGGATGAGGGGGTACCTGATAGCAGTGTTCCAATATCTCAGGGGCTGCCACAAAGAAGAAGGAGTCAAGCTATTTTCCAAGATGCCTGAAGGCAGGACAAGAAGCAATGGATGGAAACTAATCAAGGAGAGAAGCAACCTAGAACTAAGGAGAAACTTCCTGACATTTAGAATAATTAACCAGTGGAACAACCTGCCTCCAGAAGCGATGAATGCTCCAACACTGGAAGTTTTTAAGAAGAGACTGGACAGCTATTTGTCTGAAATGGTATAGGATTCGCTGCCTGAGCAGGGGGATGGACTAGATGACCTCCAAGGTCCCTTCCAACTTTATTATTATTATTATTATTATTATTATTATTATTATTATTATTATTATTATTATTATTATATATATATATATATATATATATATTTATCTGGGGTAAAGCAGCTCTGAAAATTCAGATTTGAATTTGATAAATAATTAAACAAAAGTAGTAAGGAGAGGACAGTCTCTAAGATAATTCAGCATAATCCATAAAACATGTTTTGTGCTGAACATGGATGATTGAATTCACTTTGTTTTTCATTCTTGTCTTGGAATATAAATACATCAGAGTTGTGAAGCATTTGCCAGATTATATACATGGCTGATTGATTAAATTTAGCTTAGTAAATCACAAGCTCTAGAGATGGGTATATGGATTATCCAATTTTTTTA